ATAGTTAGTAAACAGACCTCAGTGCACTGAAACCATCATCACATTTTAAATTAACTGGCCTCTTCTAGAGAAATGCCAGTAGGCTATGGAATAATTTGCTGAAGTGCTGGCCCCGGGCGACAGGATACAGAAAGGCTGGCACTGGTGCCACTGCCCACGTGACAACATTTTGTTGCTATGTAAGAGGGCTTCAGCATTTAGGGCTGTTGGTTTACTCTCTTTTGTAGATACCAGATTCACAGAATTAAAAAGGAAAAAAAGTTACGAGTTCCTTGCCTGAAGCTTGTTTGCCTGGGAATGGAAGTGAGGTGCCAGAGAACAACCCACTGCCACAGAAAAAAGGGTAGGGGAGATAGGGGTATGACTGCCACATTTGTTAATATACTTAGCCTTTCAGCAGATATTTTCAGCAAAATGGTATACACCCACAGCACATGTACATGATTATATTTTGGTAGTATGTGAACAGGCTAGTCTGTTTTAATTATAGTATGAATTGTGTATTAATAATGTGTGTACCTATACACTGAAAATGTCTGATTTACATACATTGATGGATTTCATTTACTTGCAGGGAACACCTGGAATGCTAGTCACATTAAAACCAAACAAAAAAACCTCACCCACCCTCCGTCCCTGAAAGTAACTGCAGCTTGACATCATCCATTTAGTCAGGTTGGTAATTCTCAAGGAACTCTAGCTGTAGAGTGCTTGATGTCATTCTCTCTTCAGGTCTTGCAGCAGATATGTATTCACTTCTAGTGTATACATAAAAGTGCAAAGCAAGGTTTATAATACACGTGCCTGATCCTGTTCTTTTAACCAAGTTTGCAAACTTACTCTAGAGAATCACTGTGAGGTACGTTGTGCCAGGTGACAGAGTTTTCAAGGAAAAATACATATATTTGTGGATAATATATAAGCAGCAATAAGGACTAACTTAGAAAATACCACACTTCCTCAATATAAATGAATCATAGTTAGGAATAAGGATAAAACCACTTCCTCTCTTTGCTTGAATAGCAGAAAAACACCAGCTAAATTTAATTATAACAGTTCTAAAGAAAAATTAAAAATGCTGTTTAACTGTCCCAAGTTTTAGTCAAAAGGCATAATACATCTGGATTAAGATTTTCTATACAAAACTCGCACTGGGATTTGGGCATCCCTGTTTGTAATTCCCAATGATTACTTTTCTTTCCTAGTGTTGCCAAATGTTTTCTGTGCCTTTCTATTTTAATAACTAAGGAGTTCCCTATAAATTTGATCTTGCCAAATTAGCTGTTCAAATTTGCTACATGTGGGATGGATCTTTCGATTACTAGTCTGCAATCTTTGTTCTGCAGCAAAACTGTGCCTGCAGTTTACAAGCAAATAGCATTTCAGCTCAGCAAAGGGCAAGATAAGGTATGACTTAAAATGTGCATGACAGAAAGAAAAAAAATATTTTATAGGAAACAAGTTTTCGCAGCAATTTTTTTGTTGACAATTAGGTGTTAATTAAGCACCTAAGAAATTGAGGTCCTACTTTAATTTTGTGTACTTTCTTTTCAAGATGAAAGATGAAGAAGACAAATATTCTGATCACCTGGAGGTAGTGATGAGGCAGCTCCCAGCAGGATTATTGGGGTATGCTATGAAAATGCACTATATGCCCAGGTAGGTAAAAGGCATCCATAAAACATCAGTTTATGTCTAAGTAAGTAAAACAAAATAGAACAAAACAAAAGGTATTCTGGGGGCGTAGCAATAAAACTGCAGGGTATCCAGACCAGCCTCCATAGACTGAGACTGTATTTTATGCACCTAAATAAGTAAATCTTGGTTTACTGGGATTTTGAAATAATCTAAGCAGGTTAGGCAAGAGGTCCAGCTGGCTCAAGATGGATCATCGCTAAAGATGTAATCACCCATATCAACAAGCACTCGACTGCAGAATTCACTACAGAAGTTTCTACATGCTAAAGACGGGAAGAGCTAATGTGTGTCCTGACTGCCACCACCTCAGGCAGGGAATATCAAAGCAGCAGAAGGGTAAATCTTCTCTTGCACACCCTTTTCTCTGCCTGACTCCCCCATTATTTATCAGGTAGGTAAGCTATGCTGATATGTCTCATTGACAATGGGGCAGCTGAACTGAGACTGACATTGAGACCTAATTTGCTAGACAAAGCTGTCAAAATAGGTCATTTTGGAAGTGATGAATGGCAGAGGGCTTAAATATTTTCAATATGTTGTGATTAGTTTCACCAGTAAATGGTATTTTGTAAACAGCAAGAAAAAAACTCATGCCAATCAAAGGTGCACAAGGCAGATCTAATGGCTGAACTCAATCAGAAAGCATCAGAGGTAGCTGAACATACCTAGAGAAATTAGGAGATAGTCCCAGCACACAGATCAGAGCCGTAGTATTTCAAGTAAATGAATCCCATTCACCACATTTCTGTCCTGCACTCATTGCAGAATTGCATTTTTCTTCCTTTTCTGGCTTCTGATTTTTTTACACAAAGTTAACAGTCTCCTCATCACCAAACCAATCCAGACAATGCCTTGCCCATAGCTTTGTTCGTCTCATTCCATTTATATCTAATGGGAAAACGTCAAAGAAGAAAACCTACTTCTATCTTACACCAATTTCTACTTTTATCTCTCTTGCATCCCACCTTTTATACTTGTAATTATTTCCCAAGCACATACTTCAAGTGTCACACTTTTCTCCAGTAAAACCACCTGAAGCAACTGAGCTACAAAGGCACTAGCTGCTTTATCCATTCATTAATCAATATTCCCAACTCTGAATGCATTTTTATGTCTGTCTAGTGCTTGTTCTTTCAATGTCATAATCTTTTTCAGGTTAATATGCATTAGACAAGCTTCTATAATGAAACCTCATGATGTAACCCACTTTACATGCACAAAAGCTGTCAGAATGTGAGGAGCATAGATCAGTGCTGTGCAACTGATCCCCACTCTTAAACCCCACACAGTCACTAATTCTGAGGGAGCTTGTGTTTGTTGCTGAACTTTGCGCTTATGACCATCTCAACATAATGAATGCTGTCCTTAATGCAGAATAATTGCTTATTTTGATTTTTAAATGTTCTCCAATGCATTTTTGTGATAGGAGGTAACAAAATGTTCAAAAAGTAACTTTGAAATGCTTTATGCAATGGTTTTAATTTCACAAATAATCACTGAACACTACCCAAATTCTGCTAAACACAATGGTAGTGCAACTTGCTGAGGGCATTGCAGGATATATCCCTCAATGGCTGAGAAAAGCTCTTTTAGAGAAGCTCATGATCTAATAAGGTTTTTATCGTTGTTCATGAAGAGGGAAGGACTTGGCTAAAGTAATATCTAATTTATGCAAACACACCTTGTCACCCTACCATAGCTGGTTGCTGGGTTGTTGGGTTTGTTTTTTTGCTTTTGTGCTAAGAATGAGAACTGGCATTTTTCCAAGGAGGTGTGTCAGAGGAAAATGAACATGGCACTGCAGTATCCTATTGTGTTGTAATAGTCTTCCTGGAGACCTGAAGGTGTGTCTCCGCCTTTATAAATATCACGCTGCTTTTACAAGTAGCTCTGATTCTTTTGAAAGAGACGAGTTGCATCAGGAGTTGCATTTGAGTATCTCCAAGCCCTGTGCAAGGTATGTCTTTTGGTTATCTTACTTTTTCACTGTTTCAATTGCAACAGAAGGTTTCTGTCACATCATTATTCATTTTAATGTTATTAGTCGCTGTATTTGCAACAGAAATGTAAGTACTAAATGATGTTCTCTAAAGAGGGTTTTATGGAGTGAAAATCTCTGTGTATAGTATAAGGCATGAAGCAAGACAACTAAGCACTATGCAAAAGCAGGACCTGCTCACAGCTGCTGCTACCTATGTATTCTAGATTCTAAATTTATATAAGTGAAGGTATTTGCAGATAGATGAATGTTGCAATAGATTCCTTATAAGCATGCCTGTAGATGAATTTCTGCTTTCTAAAATGGATACTTGGCTACAGAAATGGCTATGATGGAAGCATCTGAAAAATATATTTAGGGATCTAATCAACTAAATGCCAGATTGAAACCCTCTACTGTTATGATATGCTTGATCCTGAAAGCTGCTCCATAAAGAGAAACACCTACAGAAATAAACGTGTTCTGTGCAGTTGCAGGGGTCAGCTTGATAATAATTTGCTAACTAGCTACATTTCAAAACTGAAGTTGCATATTTGGCCCTTGAGTTTGGTAATTTTAGACACATCCCAGTACACTGCAGGTATCTTCGAAAGCAAAAAGGTAGTTCTGTTTGTTTAGCAGGCAAGGCAGTAAAGAATGCACCAATAGTTACTTTTTTGGTGTCTGGAAAGACTACTATATTTTTTTCTTTTCAACAGAAAACTGAAATACTGGCATAACCAGAGAATTAAGACAATTTTCAGGATGCCTAAGAAATAATTCTGCTCAACTTGAAACAAATGGCTTCCTTTCTGCCTGGCATTTTTCTGAAGAGAAGCCAGAGGTTGGAGTCAAATTGCTTATGTGCCACTCACAAGATGGGAGGTCATGGGAACAACAACAGCTTTATATGCTATAACTTGAGATATCCATCTGAGATTGACAAATCGCAGGTTCAAATTCCTTCTCTGACTGCAGAAGAGATTTTAATTAAGGTACCTCAGTCACTGGGCAGTAGCATGTCCTGGGAGTGACTCTTTTCTGTTCCACATTGCATAGGTAATTAAGTAACTGGATCAGAAGGACTTACTCCATAGCCATCTACAGTTCTCAAGGATAATAAGTAATGGTTCTAGAAATTGGGTATTATTCACACAAAGGGCGGAGGATTTTGCCAGTAACATAACTTTAATAGGTATCAAAGAGCAGTGCAATACTATGTCTGAAGTACTGCAACTGTCAAATGGAGTTCAGCATTAAGTGAAAATGTTTTTATGTTTTTGTTTGTTTGTTTTGAAGGCGAATAACAAGGAAAACAGAGACCATGAGGATCAAAAGCTTTGGACTCCTTTGTGTGTTGATTCTGGTCTCCCAGATGCTACTAGCCAACTGTGAAAGACAGAAGGAAAGAAAAAAGGGAAGACAAGGCATAGAAGACAGTGGGAAAAAACCTGAATCTAATCAAGAAAATGAAAAAGGGCAGAAGTCAAAAGGAGGAAAATCATCTCCTAAAGGCAAGTTTAAAACCAAAGAAAATGCTGAATGCACCTGGGCAGTGACCAACATGAATGCTCCTACTGTGCACGTAGAGTGCAAGCATGGTAACAGCGAGTTCTGGTGCGAATTCTCTGGAGACCCTTCCACCTGTCCACAGTATGCAGCAAACCAGAAATCCTACTGGAAACAAGTCTCTCGATCCCTAAAGAAGCAAAAGCAGATCTGTCAAGACCCCAAAAGTGTCCTGAAATCTAAAGTATGTAGGAAAGGTCCACAAAGCGCTCATCTCAAGTTGACCCGCTCAAGCCTAGTAGCATCGGTGGGTTCTGCAAAAGGGAACACAGTTCATGTGCAGACTCCAGCAGCTGTCTCTGTGACTGAAAAAAAGCTAGAACACAGTCCTCAAGACTGTGTTGAAGATGTAGATTATATTGATCAGAAAAAGGTGGCTGAGGAATACTGTCCAGAAAGCTTGCTTTCTCTCTGCAACTTTTTTATCACAATGGTGCAAGATAAAAAGTGTTGAGGAAGTGTTTCTAAAGCTCTGCACCGTGAAAGTTCTGGTCTCATCTAAATTACTGCAAACTATTCCAGATTTTATTCTCATGTTATATAGTGTATATAAAAAAAAGGAATATATTTTTCTGATTTTGTATATACACAACAGACTACACTTGACATAGTTGAAGATATAGATTTTATTTGCACGTAAATTGCTACACAAGTGTTACCAATGGATGTTACATACTCTACACAGAAGTATATAAGTGGTCTCCTTGCCCCTCTTTGAGCTGTGCTAGCCAAAGTGATGAATTCAGTGCTATGCACTTCTTGGTTATGTACAATACTGTTGATGTAAAAAATATTGAGAAAGATAAACCTCAAATATTGTCTCTCTCTGTTTAACTAGATTTCTCTGTAAGTGCTAAGCCTTTGTCAAACATTGATCTTTCACAGGATCTAGGCAAAGTGTTGCTTATAAAGCAGTTTTTAAAATACTTCTGCAGCTTTGCAGACTTCAGCTTTCTCAGCCAGTGCAAGCAATGTTTTGATAGGAAACTACATTATCATTAGGTTTTCTTCATTGTGATCATGAAGGGCAACAGATTTCCAGATTTTTTCCATAATTTTGCAAAGCTTCAGCTTTCCAATCTCATCAAAGGATGTCAGAAAACTTTGCAAACTTCAATTCTCTCTTTTCTCCTATTGTATGAAGCACATTGTATTCATTTTCTGATAGGTAAACAGAGATGTGGAGCTAAAATGTCTTATGCAAGTCTGTACATACACCCTGGACTGGACCCCTTACTCAAGCAGCTAAAGCACTTGTGCTCAACACTGCCTGTATGTTCTTTTGAAGTTCCAATGTCTGTTATCTTTATGTATGGACAACACTAATAAATGCTTTTCTATTCATTAAACTTCATCTGTATTTAAAAAAAAAAAAAAAAAGAAATCCAAACTCAACAAGAATAGAGATTTTGTGTGTATCTAAATGGCGTAGCAAGTTGCTAACCATTTCCCCTTGGATTATCGGGGCTTCATTCTGCTCCTCGTCCCTGTCTTCCAGCTCCAGGGGCTGGGTACCCAGAGAACAGCTGGTTTTACTATGAAAGACTGAGGCAAAGAAGGTATTAAGTACCTCAGCCTTTTCCTCATCCTTTGTCACTTTGTTTCCCTTCGCATCCAGCAAAGGATGAGATTCTCCTTAGCCCTCCTTTTGTTGCTA